TTTTTTTTTTTTTTTTATTTGAATATAGAAAAGTTGGAGACTTTGCCGGCCCAACGGGTGCGGTGTTCAGCTCAACCAGATGCGTGGGGCTATGTAGAGCCTCCGTGATCAGAGGCACTCTACCACAGCTGAGGGAATTTTCCTGTTCTGCTTGGGGAAAACAGGAGGCTGTATTAGGCGAAAACCTTCATCGGGCAACGCTAGCGTTCTTCCAAAGGACTCGGTAACATCCCAGTGACAGACAAGAATAGAACCTCTCTCTTCAGGGGCACTCTACCACAGCTGAGGGAATTTTCCTGTTCTGCTTGGGGAAAACAGGAGGCTGTATTAGGCGAAAGCCTTCATCGGGCAACGCTAGCGTTCTTCCAAAGGACTCGGTAACATCCCAGTGACAGACAAGAATAGAACCTCTCTCTTCAGGGGCACTCTACCTGTAAGTCCCAGTTGCTGGGCAGGACAAAGAGGAGTGATATGGTCTGGCTAGTTAGCTCCTGTGAGACAGGCTTGCCCTGTTGTAACAGTATTTTTGGTTGGTTTTTCTTGGGAACTTTAAAAAAGAAAAGAAAAATGGCTTATTCATCCCAATGGCTTGCACCCGTTTACTTGGAAGTAAATATTAGCAGAGGCCACATTATTAACTCCGCGTGGAACCGTGGCCCTGAAGCCGGACATGGAAGTATATTTTCGTAATGAAGGGGGAAAAAAATGAGACTTCTGGATAACCCTTTGTTCACCCTGCAGTGATGGAAATGAATCAGGTCATTAAGGATGAAGAAAAAAAGCAAGTGGTTCTTCCTTTTTTTCTTTCCCTTCCCTTCTAATTAATCTCCATTTAATGTCATAGCAAAGGGTGTCGGGGTAAACCGGACAGTGCAGAGTAGAGTCAAGGACAAACCTGCCGTTGCTACCCAAAGATTTATTTTGGCTTCTCAGAAGACCTCGAATCACCCCCAGGACTGCTGAGAGAGGATTTCTGTTGTACTGTTTCAAAAAATCATTACAAGGGGTAGGAGGAGTGGGAAAACCTTCTTCTACTAAGTATGATAGTCACGATTTTGCTTTACGGTTTCTAGGAAGCAGAACAGTTCCTGGAAATGTTGCTCTAAAGGTTCTCCCCTCCCACCTTATCACACGCCAGTGTTCCAGTTTACCAGGGTGTGTGAATCGTGCAAGAACCCCAAAGATTGATCAATTCAGTTCAACGAGTCAGTTGAGACCATGGACCGGGTTGATCCGAAGCCATCCAGCTCGATGCACCAAATTAATCAGGCAGTCAGATGAAAGGATTTAGTTCAACTGGGCCAAGGGCCTTGGCACGACCTTCAAGTCGGGGGGGGGTCAAAAAAGTCAGCATGGCAGCCGTGACTGTCTGATCGAAGCTCCGCCCCTTTTTGACATGCAATTTACATGCAATGCATCTTGGAAGGGGGTGGGGCTTTGAGCAAAAAATCATGACTTTTTTGACTCCTACCTTGAGGCCTTTGTGTCAAGTCAACTTGTTGCGCAACCCTAGAATTTGCACAAGGAATTGGTGCATCCCACGTCTGACCATCTTTCCACAGAACAAGATAGGAGGCTACTCCCCAAATGGGGGGTCTATAGGTCTCTGAATCCAGCCACTGGGGATTCATGCAGCCCACCCTCATCTTCACAGCCCTTGCCTCTCTAGCTAATCTATGGAGGCCCGGCCTCCAAACTCTCTCCTCCAAGTGGCCCCCCAGTTGTAGCTTGGCACATGACAGACAGGAGAAATGACCCCACCCAAGGGGCTGTCACAGCTTTCAGTCCTTCCAGTTCAGTTTAAATGTCAGTTAGATGCCAACAGATTTCATGCTTCTCCGTGCTCGGCTTGCTTTTTGGAGAGCAAGTTCTCATCCAGCGATGGTTCCAAAGTGAAGGCCAGATCTTGGCCCGGAAAGAGTGGAGCTCAGCTCTTTCCCCACCCGTTACAGACCGGAGGGGGACACCCGAATATTGCTCACGCAGAACCTTTCTGAAAACTGAGCAGTGTTTGAAACGGAGAAAAAACGATCGCTTCGGAAAAGGGGGCTTGTAACCCCCAGGCAGATCCTTTCCCAGCGCAGCTCTGCCTCTGGTGCTCGTGTGGGGGCCTTTGGAAGAGGATTTCATTCGGGAGCCACGTTCAAAACGCGGCGCTCAGGGCCTGGCCTTCTTTTCGGCAAAGAAGAACCTTCTGGGTTTGTCACTCTGCCAGGGAAATAGAGGGGTCAGGATCAGATGTATTGTTTCAGAAAAACAGAGACCCTTCCCAGACAGAACAGTTCTGCACATCCCTTGTTATGTGAAAACCATGAAAATCACTGGCTATAAAGCTTCCTTTATGTTTGGATGATACATATATATATATATAT